TTCAATCCCAACAGATTGGCTTATTAGGAAAAAGAGCTCTTTGAACTTGTAAATTATACCACACTTATGAAGCTCCTTAATGTGAGACTCATAACAATCCTCCCTTGCACAAGCCCTTTCAAATTACATTAATTATAGATCTTTCTGCATGTGAGAAACAATTAATTAGTACAATTTCGAGGCTTTTGGCCAAAAAAGAAGTACAATTTTGAGGCCAATAAAAGCTGGAAGTATCTCCCCACCCAAGCATTCAAACTAGTAAATTATTGGTGCAGATCTACATTGCACACATAAGTACCGTAAAGCAAAATGCATGAACTAGCACCGCCAGTCAAATAAAGAGCCTTCCTCCTATGGTGTTCTGGAAAAAGAGAAGTACATAAAAAGTCATAACTTTTGCCAAGCTTATGTTGGAAAACAAACAAAAGGAAAAGTAAGATGCATGCCCTCAGTATAATTGAAATAAGATAAATCTTTTATGGAGGGCACCAGCAAGAAATTACAGTCCTAACTGTGAGATTTGCTTGTATTCTTGACATGGCCTGCGTTTTTATTTCTTCTTTCTCTAACCCTGCTTTTATAATTAACTTGTAATTTGACATCTTCCCTTTTACAATGGTACGTATGACACATCAAAATCTTGAATCCCCATGACTACTGCTTTATGTAAATTCAAGCTTTCTGACGTTAATTTAAAGAAACTCACTGGCATCGTTGTTTGTTTATGTTTGGTAACTTCTACTTCTAGCTGGCTCTTTCTAGTTTCTTTAAATTGAAAAGGGACAAACCGGACTAATCAGCTACGTACTGTGACTAAGTGGTTATCACAATGATTTTAAAGAAGATATATATATGGGGATAAATAATTGTCATCGCTTATTTTCACTTAATTTGCTGTATAACAAAAGTATAATAATGTGTCAGATCCAACCTAGCTTATCCTTTTCATATAAAATAATGACAACTGATTGAGCATTGGATGGATTTAATGTGTGATAATTTTCAAAGAGTAATGAAGCGTACGTAACGTTTGATACCTTCATTTGCTTAAAAAAAAAAACTTGAAGCTTAATTACTTATCGTTGATGCAATTGAGAGGTGATTGAAGATATATATGGTAGTGTGATATGTCAAATTTACGGGACTTAACGCAGTGTTAGACGGCCATACGTAGATGATAAATTAAAAAAAAAAGACAAATATATTAGTTAATTATGATAAATGTGACATGATCTCACTAAAATACTTGTGCATAATATAACTACATTAGGCATATCAGTTTATAAGTTTTTTCTTGCCAATAATATATCAATTATAAATTAAATACATTAGGTTATGAAAAAAAATGATAAATAAAACAGATAAAGTGAATTACCATTTTATATATTAAGGACTAGCTGTAACTCTCAACTCACTCTTGTATTAGAGACGAGGTGTGATAATATATGAACATGAGATTACATATATATGGATTATATATACAAGAAAATTACAAATTTAAATTATAATGTGTGTGTAGGTTAATTATATTTAATACTCATTTGATCTTAAATGTAAAACACATTTTAAATGTGTTTTATATTTAGAATTGGAGGAGTATTAAAATTAAAATTGCATAGGAACCGTGTAGTTGGGAAGGACGGTCCCAGTGACAGTGGAGAAGGTCATGCGCGCATGGCATGCATTGAATCTGCCATTAATGCCCCTTTTTCTCTCCACGAGCAACATGCTGACCCCTCGCGCATCCTTTTTAGTTTTTTCTTTGAGACAAAACCTACCTACTTTCACGTTTTAAATTTCCCACCTATCATATTTTTACTCCCTTCTCAATTTTGTGATTATCATTGCTATCAACTGAATTACTGGAAGCTTTATCTCCGTAATTGAGTTGCCAACTACAAGCCCCAATGACAGTGCCGCCCACTCGCTATACTTAAGTGAGTCCTGTGTATTTGAGCTTGACATTAACATGTTTATATGCATGCGTGTTGAAATTGTATTAAAAAAACAGTATAGAAAATGTTATTGGCTCCTTACAGTTCAAGACTTTTTACATTTTACCTATTTAAAATTAAAAACTAATTGAAATGCTTCGATAACCTCTTTATCTATTTGTAAATTATAAATATAACAAGAAGTAATTATTATTCAACTTTTCTCACGTGTAAACTGTGAATGGACTGCTACTACATTAAGGGAGGTGATGGATAAGCTAATTAGCCACGAACAATGAAGCTTCATAGCTAACCGGTCTAGCTGTGACAATATTATTGTGGCTCAAGAAATTATCCACTCTATGAGAATGAGTGGCAAAAGAAAAGGTTATATGACAGTTAAAGTTGACATGGAGAAAGCATATGACAGACTAGATTGAAATTTTATTCAAGACACTCTTCAATGCTTGCGATTGGATTCATGCCTAATCAATCTCATTATGAAGTGTATGTCAACAGCTTCTATGTCTGTGTTATGAAATGGTGAGGAAGGGCCCATGTTCACACCTTCCAGAGGTGTCCACCAAGGGGAGCCACTCAGCCCTTATATTTTTGTCCTTTGCATGAAACGATTGGGTTAGCTTATTAAAGAGGAATGCCAGAGGAAGAGATGGAAACCTTTTAGATTTAAGCCTAATGGGCTAGCTATCTCTCATCTCTTCTTTGCGGATGATCTCATCCTCTTCTCTGAAGCAACCATGGGGCAAGTGGAAGAACTTAAGTCAGTAATGCAGAACTTCTGTACAATCTCGGGCCACAGAATTAATCCAGCTAAGTCCAAAATGTTCACTTCAACAGAGCCTTAGAGCTTAGTCATACTCTCGACATAGGCCTCACGGCTGACTTGGGCTTTGGGTGTGCCACTCTTTCACTCAAGAATTACAAAAAATACTTACTTTCCCATAGTTCTAAAAGCCTGTAGGAGAAAAACTCTCCCTTTGGAAGAGCAGATTCCTCAATATAGCGGGTAGATCGGTGCTAATTAAATAAGTCCTTTCAGCTATGCCTGGTTACCAAATGCAGTCTACTCTCTTACCACTAGGTACTTTGAGGGAGATTGAGAAATTAAGTAGGAGGTTCATGTGGTCACAAGACATTGAAGCAAGAAAGATGAATCTTATTGCTTGGGACAAGATTATTCTACAGAAGGAACTTGGAGGATTGAGAATAAAAAATTTGTGCCAACACAACAAAGCGTTTATCTTAAAGCTTTGTTGGGAATTGATTACAAAGAAAGAAGCGTTATGGATCAAATGCTTGTGGGCCAAATATAATTGTGGACCTGGATGTAGTCTAGTGGTGACGAAAAAACAAAACTCCTCCTTGACTTGGAAGGCCATCTTTGAAGTTTGAGAGATTTTTCTGGCCAGAATTGGAAAGAAAGTAAATAATGGAGAGACTACAAGTTTTGGGGAGGATATGTGGCTACCCATCAATAAACCACTAATCTCTTTTGTCCCAAATATATCAAGTATTAACACAATAGAAGAGTTTGTGGCCATGTTTCAGCAACAGGACAGTGGGATGTTGGTAGATGGAGAGGAATTCTCCCTCATTGGGTAACTAAAATACTCATAAAGAAGAACCCACCATCAAACAACACTCCTGACAGATTTACGTGGCGACCAGCAAAAGATGGTAATTTCTCTGTCAAAGTGGCATACAAGTTCCTCACAAACTGTGAGGGGAATAGACAAAGTGGTCTTTGGACTCAACTATGGAAATGGCAACTCCCAGAGAAGGTCAAGTTTTGAATGTGGCAAGTGGTCCATAAGAGACTGATTATAAACTCACTCAGAGCAAAAAAAGGTATTTTAAACACATCCGAATGCCCATATCAGTGTGCAAGAGAGGAGAGTGTCCTTCATATTCTTGGAGACTGTGAGAGAGCTAGGGAAGTATGGCACAAAATTTTAAAACCTAACGCTTTTTGTAGATTTTTTGCTAAAAATTTGCTAGTATGGCTAAACTGGAATACAAAGCATCATCCAGGTAGTGGACGTTTCAACCAATTTGCATGGAATCGAGTCTTTAGTTCAATCTATTGGTTGCTATGGACTACTCATTGCAAATTCATTTTTTGAAGGAGGCAGTACAAGTACCAGAGAAATATTGCAGAGGTGTCTACATAACCTGGTGGAGTATATTGTTAACCAGAACCTTAAACATCAGATCTTCAAGCATAAAAAGGCTGAGGAACGCTGCTGGACACCACTGCCACAGGATGCTGTACATATTGATGTTCATAGGTCGGTCTGGTCTTTCATCCAAGCAGCATGCGGAGGAGTCATCCGAGACACTCATGGAGACTAGGTCATGGGATTCCACCAAACTCTTCGTTTATGCTCAATAATGGAAGCAGAAATCAATGCCATATGCACTGATATGGCCATTGGGAAACACTTGGGCTTTCAAAAAGTGCTGATTTACACGGACTCCATTGATGCTTTCAATTGTTTGATAAGGGGTGGTCCTATTGATAATCCTTTGAGGGATGTGATAGCTGAAACTAGATAATTACTCTTTAGTGACTGGGAAGTTCCAAATTGAATTCAGTTTATGGTCACTCTTTCCATTACTCTTTATTTGTATGATTTATGAATTTTCGGACACATTTCTTGGGCTATCAAAATATTGGACTTAGGTCACTCATCTTGGTCTTAAAGTTATTGGCCCAAACAAAAATGTTCATAAGGTTTTTGATTGCGAGGCCCACGTTTAAAACGAAAGAGACTAGTGATGCCTGCTTGACAGAATACTTATTTTGAGACGAGGACTTCTTTGCCAGATTTGGGCCAAGGACCTTTTTCTTTTGCCTGGACTTGGCCGATGGAATTTAGTTTTAGTTATTTTCCTTTATAATGAAAAAAAAAAGGGAAAAAAATTAAGTATAATATGTACGTATGTTAGTAATAAAATTAAATTAAATAAAAGCTGGCAGAGTCTAGAATTCTGGGAATCCTCTTGCCTCAACAAATTTTAACCCCCTTGTTCAAGTAAATCGAATCACTTCGACTCGAATCCTGAATAATAAGTTTCCTGTTTAATTAATTGATTAACGATGAACATTCGATCTGCTTTCTGAACCCTTCTATGCAGAGGAAACCAAGCATTTCACTTCAAGGAGAGGAGCAATACACCTATCCGGTATCCCCTCGATCGCCTTTTCTTCCCAGATTCAAAGTCTAGAATTCTGGGAACCCTCTTACCTTACAGATATAAAGTAGCTTCGCTGGGCAGCTCTATTTGTCGTTTCCGATTCTGATATTTAACAATCGATGAGGCTTCTGCAATTGGGCTTGTTGCTTTCTTTGGCATCTGGATTTGCCGCCATTATCATTTACATTACTGGAGTCTCTAATCCCTCTGTATGTATGTATATCTTATTTGACTCACTTGGCATTTACCTTGCCCCTCAACCATCCGTATCTTATTTGAGTAACTTGGTGCTTCTTCATGTGTATAAATCAAATAAGGTTTTAGTTTTATTCTTGAGAGAAAATGAATGCAAGAACCGTGAAGTAACAGGTTTAGTTGCATGAGATCTAATTACGGCATAATGATGGACAGTTGGGAGCTATCAGCTTACAGACAATGAGATAGAAGCGTTGCTATCTTTGCAGAGCAGTTTCCAGCAGTGCGTGGTGAGTTCTGCTGTTCTTATCGTTGAAATAAATTCTTCGTTTTTTAACTTACTGCTCTACTTGTGCTGGCGTTTATTTAAAAGGCGCTGCTTTGTTAGTTGTATATGGTTAGTTTTTTGTGCATTTTTTCTTGATGATTCGTTTGAGCATTTGAGAATTGCTGTCTGCTGCAAATGTAATAGGGCTGTGATTGAGGTTATGCAACCCTTAAGAAATTAGGTCGTCTGCTGTGCTTATATGATTACGATTGAGTTCACTACGGGTTTAAATCCTTACAAAATTTGGACAATGTTTACGTTTTGTTAAGTTGCCTAGCGAATGCCAGGAACATTCAATATAACAGGGTAGCCAAGGATTGGTAAAAAATGGAATTGTTATTTTTGCGTGGACAAATATATTACCTTTTGTTTTCAGGTTTTGCTAAATTTATGATCTTTAATTGTGGAAAATCAATCTTACTGACGTAATACTTCATGAGAATTATTCTCAATCATCTTTTCACATTGGGTTGGTGGTTTTTTTGTGTTTGATGCAGAGTGCAAATGGTCTAGGGCTCAAAGCTGTTCGGGGCAGAGATTATTGCCAAACCACAATAAACTTCCCTAGTGATACCATCCCAAAATGGGTACATTTTCCAGATCACTCAGTCACCAAATTATTTTCATGAAAATAACTTGTATCCAAGTTATCTACATGGTTGTGCAAAATTGTTAATTATGACATCCTACTACTCAAGAAGTATGTTTTGCTCCCTTTCGGAGGAATGAAATGTGGTATTTTATATATCATATGGCTTACAAATAGATTAGAATTTGTAACTCTGTCATGCAGTATGTTGTTCCTTTTTGTCAATTGCTTGTCCATTGGTATCTTTGTTGCCTCATGGAGATTTATGTATAAACAGAGAGATCCCAAAACGGGTGAACTGGAAGCTTTGTCCTTTGATTTCAATCTATGTGAAGCTGTGGCAACGTGGGAACAGGTGAGCACCTTCATCTTTGTGTCTCATCATTTCGATTACCTTCATCTATTGGTCTGCAAGTTAAGAGGTGTTTTATGAATTTATTTCCTGATTTGGTTTTATGGTGCACCCTAAAGACTAAAGAGCAAGGACAAACCTATTTACAAGTGTGTCAATACTGAAATGGCATGCTAGCAACGTGTGTATGACTGTTTTAGATTTATTTCCTCTTTTTTTTCCCTCCAAAAAACACTTTCCAAATGCGTGCTGGTGCCTGACTTGGCTGACCCCCAGTGAAAGGATTACTACCAAAAAGAAGATAGTGAGGTAGTTGAAACACCATCTTGATGTTATAATGAAGGCTCTTTCCCTCCTTTTTTTCTGTTTGTAAGCTAATTATGTGAACAAAATAGTTTAACATCATTTTATTTAGTTGAATTTTTTGGAGTATGACAGTCTGAGCTTATGCATCAATATGTCCAAAACCATTAGGAATTATTTTCATTCTTGTTATCCTCTTTCCGTTAATTAACATAATATTCCTTTAGTTGAATAATAGAGTAATTTTGTGGCATTTGCTTCGCATTTAGTTATAGCGTATCCTTAAATCATGGATTGATTTCTCAGGTTAGGAATAGCACTACAATACTCACCAAGGAATTCATTGATTCTTTGCCAAATGGATGGAAGAATATGCATGGCAGAGGATCAACAAAGGAGTAATTCTGTAAGTCTGACTTTAAACCATGAGGATGGCAACTGAACGAAATTAAACAGGGGTTGTTTGTTTCAATTTTTCTAAATTTTGCGGAAATGTACCTTTCCAGAAAGTATACTTCTCAGGAAGTTAGATTCTCGTTAGCTAATTATTTGTTTCATTCTTTTAAATACCTGGGAACTCTAAATTATTTTAAAAATAAATGTAGTGTTTTTTAATGTTAAAGACGAAAAAACCTTTTAATTAAATTTTATTTCATAATTTTAAGGGAAAGTTTGGGGATATCAGGGCGGTAGAACTTAAATTCTATTCGGTAAGTTACTGCCTTAGCTGTGATGCAAGTTGGAGGCCCAACTTCGCAAGAAGTTGAGCCTTCTAGTGAACAAGCAACTGGAATTTATTCACTTCTCAAAAAATGTAACTTACCTTCCTTGCTCATTTCTAACCAAGCGAACCCCTGATATTTGACCTGCTATTTTCTATACTGCATATTTAAAAATTATCTATATTCCTATAGTGGTTGATTTGGTGGATCTTGCTCTAAGAGAAAGTAAGATTAGCCTTATCTTGAAGCAAACCGTTCTGCTACAGCAAACGCTGTGAGAACAAGACCTTATGCATGGAGAACTTTTCACTGGTGCTCCCTGAGACACCACCATATTTCCCAAGGCAGTTTGGACGCTGTGCTGTCATTGGTAATTCAGGAGATCTCTTGAAGACAAAATTTGGGAAGGAGATAGATGGCTATGATGCTGTAATCAGAGAAAATGGTGCTCCAACACAGGTTACTCGATCAACAGGATGTTGCTGGTATTCTGCATTCTCTTCTAGTTCTGATCTGTTCCCTTAAAATTCATGTATAACTGCAGAACTATACCGAATATGTGGGTAAAAAGAACACATTTCGTCTTCTTAACCGGGGGTCTGCCAAAGCTCTTGACAAAGTTGCAGAGTTAGATGGTAAAGTCACGAATATGAAATCCCCTTGGTATAGTTCCTTCTGATTGACTAGAACTCTAATCGAAGTGCTGGTTTTGCAGATCAAAGGAAGGAGGTTTTGATAGTAAAAACTACAATTCATGACATCATGAGCAAAATGATTCGGGTTTGTTTCCTCAGTTACATTTGTGTTAAATAATTGCCCATAAATTTACTAGTGTATATGCGCGCACACAAAAACATTTCACGCCATTGGAATCAGTTGTCTAACTGATTTTTTTTTTTTTTTGCTTCCGTCTTCTGCAGGAAGTGCCCATAACAAATCCAGTATATCTCATGCTAGGTGCATCCTTTGGTTCAGCAGCAAAAGGAACAGGGCTTAAGGCTCTTGAATTTGCTCTCTCTATATGTGAATCGGTTGATATGTACGGCTTCACTGTAGATCCTGGATATAAAGAATGGTATATAATTTTCTATTTGCACTCAGGACTTCTAGTGAATCCGCCTATTGGTTTGAGTATGGTTGTCTGACTAAAAACCTGAAATTTTCCTGGTAGGACTAGATATTTCTCTGAATCTCGTAAAGGTCATACCCCATTGCATGGGAGAGCTTATTACCGATGATGATGGAGTGCTTAGGAGTACCAACCTGCCCTTTTGTTATTTTAGATGCAAGATATATTACATGAGCAGGATT